GAGTGGTCTTCAACATCTCCCTCTACCTCTTCCCCCACCCCCAGGCTCTGAGTGGCCACACCTATCAGTGACATACCCACATCACCTCCCAGCCCCGCCCTCCTCCCCATTTCAGGGGGCCACTGCCTTGGCTGAGGCCCTCCCTCCATCTCTCTTCATTGCTGTAATGCCCTGTAGGTCGGCTGCTTCTTGCCACCAGACTGATCCTCAACCACAGCACGGAACAGTTCACTCTTTCTCTAAACCAAAAAAATTAAATAAATAAATAAATTAATAATAATAATAAAATCAATAGTTCAAGTTTTTCAGCCTGGCTTTCAATGCCTTCTAGAATCTTGTCTCGGCCAGCTTCTAGTCTGTTCCTCAGCTTCTATTCTCCAAACACAGTTCCTGCCTTCTGGGCACCTGTTCTCCGCCTCTGGATCTTCTGCGGGCTGTACTCATCCCATTTTGCCTTCCAAATGCTGCACCTCCAAAAGACTTTCCTCCTAGTTTTCTACTCACTTAAAGCTGGCATAACTCCCTCTTTTCTCTGTATCCTGATACCATTTTTCATTTTGGACATCGGTTACAACACGTATACCTTTTTTCATCATATGGAGATGAAATAGTTTAATTTTCCCTCCACACTGGAAGGTTCTTCAAATTCCATTCAACAAAAAAATGATGTAGCTTGCATTTTTTAAGCTACTTTTAAAAAGATTTTATTTATTTATTTGACACAGAGTGAGAGACAGAGAGAGAGCACAGCAGGGGGAGTGGCAGAGGGAGAGAGAGAAGCAGACTCCCCGCTGGGCAGGGAGCCCAATACAGGGCTCAATCTCAGAACCCCAAGATCATGACCTGAGCCAAAGGCAGATGCTTCACTGACTGATTCACCCAGGCACCCCTGTCTGTATTTTTTTTTAATGAGACACTGTAACAGCAACTAGGACTTGGAAAAAAAAAAAAAAAATTCCTGCCCTGGAGTTGGAACTCTCTGGTGGGAAAAGATGATAAAACAGAACTGCTGTACTACATGGCAGGAAGCAGGCATGTCTTGTTGACACAGGTTTCCTCGAGTCCAGGACGGGGCACATGTTAGGGGAATGGCTTTCTAGAGCTGGAAAAGCCTAAAAGATCATGCAATCTAAACTTGAAGTGTCCTACCATAGAGGACCGAGACCACAGAAATCAGGAGTCTACCCAAGGTCACCAGGCTTGTGAAAGGCAGTGCTGAACCAAGCCCTCTCCAGGGTATGCGCCTTCACAGCCCCTCCTCCTTTGCACCCTCGCCAGGGGGGTGGGGAGTGGGTGGGGGGTGTGCATGTACCACAGGGTGAGCAGCCGTTATGAACCACAGGAAATATTCCAAAAGGCAATATGTATGATAATCATTGGATCTGTCTGAGCTGAGTGGCCAAAAACAAAACCAAAAACAAATGAAAAAACACAAGGAAGATTTTAAAGGACAGGTAAATGTTTCTCCTGTCATGAATGCACCATTTCCATAAAACTTTGCTCACCGCATTGTTTCTGCAAAACTTTTGGTCATTTATTTTGTTCTTTCCAAGAGTCAAGTTGTCTAATGGTTAATTAATACCATCCATCCACAGGAAAAAATGAAGATTGAACATTTTATTTTATTTTTTTTTTTAAGATTTTATTTATTTATTTGACAGAGAGAGATCACAAGCAGGCAGAGAGGCAGGTAGAGAGAGAGGAGGAAGCAGGCTCCCTGCTGAGCAGAGAGCCTGATGCGGGGCTCAATCCCAGGACCCTGAGATCATGACCTGAGCCGAAGGCAGCGGCTTAACCCACTGAGCCACCCAGGCGCCCCAAGATTGAACATTTTAAAAGGTCTCATTCCTGAATTAGTGCTCCTCCTGTAAGCCATCTGGAAGATTCCAGAAAAACTGCCTGATTTTTTTCCAAAAGGCTTCTCAAAATCATTGCCTTAGTCTCAGGAGGGCTTCAAACAAAACCACATGAAAAATCTCTCAAGGTGGGGTGCCTAGCTGGCCCAGGCATTAAGCGTCTGCTTTCAGCTCAGGTCAGGATCCCGGGGTCCTGGGATTGAGCCCCACATGGGGCTCCCTGCTCAGCAGGAAGCTTGCTTCTCCCTCTCCCACTCGCCCTGCTTGTGTTCCCATTCTTGCTGTGTCTCTCTCTGTCCAATAAGTAAAATCTTTTTAAAAAAATCTCTTAAGGCATTTTTACCCAGAGTAAAATTCTTTTTTTTTTTAATTGTATTTATTTATTTTGGGGGGTAGTGGTGGAGGAAGAAGGAGAGAGAGAATCCTAAGCAGACTCCATGTTGAGCATGGAGCCCAAGTCTGGGCTTGATCTCATGACCCTGAGATCATGACCGGAGCCAAAATCAAGAGTCGGACGCTTAACCGACTGAGCTGCCCAGGCACCCCTGGAATAAAATTCTCTTTTAAAATTGCCTTTGTCCTTTTCTTTATAAACCACTCATCTCCACAAGGTATATTGTATTTATTCACCCATTTTGTGCATTTATTTTAGAGAAGTAAATAAAGAAAAAAGTCTTTATTTCATTTTCCTGTATTTAAAAGTAACCACAGTATATAAACAAAATATACTCTTTCATTGTTATTATTCCTACTGTAGAAAAGAGAACATCCAGGTACCGGCCATGGCTGGAGCAGAATGAAGGAACGGAGAGCGTCATTAGCCCTTATGGAAGACCCTTAAAAAGTTTCTCAAGGTTCTGAACAACTTGGTGCATTACCCTCTCCTCCATCTCAGCCAGGGAGGTAAGATGGGTGTTTTCCTTTCCACGCCGCCCCCAACAATAAATACATCTCAGGGAGGCTTGCTTCACTGAAACCTCTACAAGGAATAACCACCTGCCTGAAGACCAAAATGGATTCATGACAGATGTCAGTAAGGCTGTAACCAAGGAATGGGCAAGGGCAAGCTTCCATCTTACTCCTTCAAACCCAACATCTCTGCCCCATTCTTAAGAAAATGTAAAGATTTGTTGTGAATCACTGCAAAGCATTTATCTGTGCCGCCAGAAACACAGAATCCATTAGAACTCATTGTTACAAATATTAGTAATTATACGTCTTAACAGGGATGCAGCTTCCACAGGTCAAGTCATGTCCCCTGGAAATTTACAATAGAAGGCAAAATCCTAATACCATGGGGTTACTCCGTCTTCCTTCTAACACACTGAAGAAATCACACTAACTCCACCTAGAGATCATTTTCAACCAGGCTCTCCTTCCCATAGTATATAGGTAATAGTATTTTGTATGAGTTCGAGTAAGAGTATTTTCTCCAAAGGATGATAACACGACTAATTTACCTTTGGATAGTACCTTGCAGATTACCATGGTCTTTCATCTACATTTCTCCTGTGAAACAGTACAGATGAGGAAACTGAGTTGCTGCCCGATTAAGAAATGTTTGCTGTATCACTCCGCTAGCAAACAAAGGCGCAAGGGAGGACAGGGAACCAGACCCAGCAAGTCTGGGCTTTAGGGTCAAACTCTGGATGGAATCTCAGCTCAACTAACCATAGCAATACAAACCTGGGCAAGGCCCCACTTTTTAACCATATCGTATGTGTAATACTCACCTCGCAGACGAATGAGAATGAACTAGGACAACATGTAAAAAGCACATGACAGAATTCCTGGCCCATAAAAGATATTCATTGCATATTGGCTTCCCTCCGTTGACACAGCTGTAAAAAGGCGGTACTAAAAAACCTAGCTCATGAGGCCCCTGTGGGGATTAAACCATGCCCTGTAAGGGCTCACCAGGAATAGTTTTCTCTCCTTGCCCATGTCCTGGCCTGGCTACCCACCCCCATATCAGGCCTGCCTCTGTAGTATCAATTCAAGATACTAGAAAGCAACTTTAGAGAGAGGAAGTTTATCTTCATAGGTCAGCAAGCATTTTACCTATCTACTGAATTTCACAATTGTCCCTAAGACAAAATGGACCCAAATTAAATGTTTTTCAAAGTCCGGGAACAAAGTCAAAGTCACTAGATAATTTCAATATACCCAGAGGCCCTCATGGTGATGAGATTTTGAGAACATATGAAATTCAGTCCACCTGGTTCAATCATCTACGCATTTCCCTTTTTTTTTTTTTTAAATCAGGGGTGTCACTTTAGTTTAGATCTAACCAAAGGTTAGATGAAGTGAGAACTACCGAGGGAGATGGAAAGAAAAAGAAAAAAGGAAAACCAGTGGGTAGAAACAACTGAGAAGTTTTCATACAAATCTGAGTTCTCCTTCAACGAGATCATGTACAGTAACATGTTACTTCCTGAATGTTATGAAGTTTCCAGATGGCCACTTCTGGATAAGATAAAGCTGGTAGTATCAAAGGATGGCCCCCGTCTTCTCCAGCACCACCGTGCACGGACTCAGCCGAGAGCGGCCGCTGGCCTAGCGACAAGCCCTCGCAAGTGCGTGTTTGCTAAAGCGTCAACTTACAGTCACCTTCACCCAAACAGATGGTGTCAGTTAAATTTCAAATACAATCCCCAAAGGAAAGCATGCAGGAAAACGTTCCTCTTGTCCTAAGGGCTGTGATTTATTTATTTGGAAAGTTCTTTGGTTGGGTTGAATTTGATTCGATATTCGTGTACCTAATGTACCCACCCCGCGGGCTGTGGGACCTTTTTCCCATTGTCGCCGTCCTCTGAGTTTTTAGAATACTCGTTTTTAGAATCCGGTGCTCAGAATCCGGCTCCGTATGCCTTTGAGAAGTACCGTGGAAGAGTTTCCGTCATGAGCACCTTTAAGTTTGCAAGCGCATGACCAGTAAGGGCGGGTGGGAGGGGGAGGGGAGGAGGGCAACCAGAATGTCAAAATACACTTTCCTCCGCAAAACACGCATTTCTCGTTCCTCAGATTTAGTCGTGGAGGAAAAAAACCGCATTAGAAATGCAAACCACCCTGGGAGAGACTCTTCCGGCCGACTCCCGGGCCGCGGGGGGCGCGCGGGGGGACCCGGCCGGGGCCCGGCGCTCGCTAGCTGCCCGCCTCCTCGGGCTCACTGCAGGGCGAAGGCGCCGACGAGGCCTTGGACTCGCCGTCGCTGTTGCATTCGGCCGGGCGCGGGGTGCGGGCGCCGGCGGGACCCTCCGGCCCCCGGGCGTGGCGCTCCAGCAGCTCCTGGAGGTGCCTGATGTAGCCGATGGCGGCGCGGAGCGTCTCCACCTTGCTGAGCCGCCGCTCCGCCAGCTCGCGGGGCAGGTGGGCTCGCAGGCGCGCGTAGCCCTCGTTCACGCAGCGCACCCGCTGCCGCTCGCGCTCGTTGCGCCGCCGGAGGAAGGCGGGCTCGAAGGCGCACTCCAGCGGCAGCGGCCGGCAGGGCGGCCTCGCGGCGCAGCCCCCGGGCCCCCGCGCGCAGCACGCGGCGTCGGGACGGGAGACCCTGGGGGGGTCCCTGAGAGGGAGGCGGGGCGGGGTCCCCGGCAGGTCCAAGGGCACGGTGCGGAGGTGGTAGGGCAAGGGCGGCAGTCCGGCCGGCTTACGCTTCTCCATCCCTCGCCGAAAAGCCAACAGATCTCCCGAGGGACTAATCTCTGACAAGCTGAGACTCAAATAAATCTTCGAGGCGAAGATGCTGGTCCATTCAGACAGCCCGGCACGGCCGATCTGCCTTTAAAGAAGTTTCTGGTTCCAGGACAGGAAACTTTGCATGATTTCCTAAATTCATCGCACTCCTCGATCATTTATAAAGATCCATACGGAGGGGACAGGCAAAGATTTAGGACCCCCTAATCCACACTTCAAACCCTGTCTTCCCCTCTGATCTTCTTATTTCGACAGATAACAAAAGGGATGCTTCTGCTCGGTCCCCTAGCCTGGGAATGGGAGCGTAGACCAAACAGAGTAATCTTCCAAAAATCACCCAAGCTTTTCAATCACTGTAATCCACCCGCTCTGGGTCTTCAAGAGCATAGGAATCTTCCCGGTTTCAAAAAGCCCCTCCCAGGAACCCACAGATGTGGCGGCTGGGCGAAAGTCTACCAGAAGCTTTCTCCTTGAAAATCAAAACTTGACTGCCCTTTGCGGTTTCCGGCGTCCAGGGCTAATGGAAAGAGCTTTCAGACTGTTTGCAAACTTGCCCTTGTTCTTCCATTTCTGTGGAGGTGGAGGGAAGACCTCATCAAAGGAAAGACTGCTCCCTTGTGGTTAAAAGATGTGTCAAGCAAAGGGGGACCTCAGGGGATGCTTGAGGGTTTCTTCTCCAAAACCCAATCTTTTAAAAATCCCAGTTTGACATCGAAGAGAGGAGGGAAGGAATATACCTTAGCGAGAAGGTAAGTGTCCGAGTATTATGCTCCTGCTTGTGTGGAACGCAGGACTTTTTTTTTTTTTTCCACGTGTGTGTGTTACTTTTTAAGAGCACATCAAAAGGTTGAACAGTAACAAACACTTTTAGTCAGTTATTCTCACGGTGCTTACTGTAAACACAGGTTCAACCCTGCTTCCTGACCTCTTCTAATCCCACCCAGGATATAAGACCATTTTTCCATAATGCAAAAAGTGTATTTCTATTGTATTCTTCTTTTTGTCTTAAAAACAAAGATGCAATTTATTTTCTCCCTTGGGGGCAGGTGAAGAGCCCCAGTTCCAGGGATAAAGGATGATGGCTTTGAAGACTTGTCTTTTTAACATACCACCAAAAAAAAAAAAAAAGAATAATTAATCCATCCATGTTGGTGAAAGGCTTTGAAGATGAAAGTGTCATTAAAAACCCAACAGTGCTGGTTAATGTCAAAAAGTGTGTTATCACACTGAAAATCAGATTTCTTGTTCTCCAAACCCAGCACATTAAAGGCAGCTTCTACTTTTAAAAGTCCAACTTAAAAACGAGAAGCAAAACCCCCCGACATTTATGATCAGACTTTCTGCCTATTCCTCAGGAGCCAGGGTGTAGCCCTGACATGTTTTTTTGACAAGTGCTATGCTTACCTGTTTATCCTAAATGATTTTTGCCTGAAGCAACTGGAAAAACACCTCCATCAAGGCAAATAAAATAGAAATAATTATTCCTTTTAGGCATAAGTTAGTCACATTTTAAAAACTCCCTATGAGGCATGTACCAGCAAACAACCCAATGTGTCACCTTGATTTCTCAGTAGAGTTGAGAACAATCCAGAGAAAGCTCTTATGGTTGGGAGACAAACCCCCCAGAGAGGTAGAAAGACTACTGGACCACAAGGTGCTTTGGGCCGTGTTAAGGATTTTGGCCTTTGTTCTAAGAGTGATGGGAAGTAAATGAGGTGCTTTAAGCAGAAAGGTGACATAGTGAGATTTTGTTTGTCAAGAACATTACTCTATCTGCAGACTGGAGAGTAGACTGGAGAGGTAGGAAAGGGAGAACGGATAAGAGGTACCATATTTCATCCTCAGATTGGAAAATCTAAAAATGGCTAATACCCAGGGCAGGCAAGAATTTGGGGAAAGGGCAGAAGCATAAATTGCTATAAGCTTTTGGGAAAGTGACTTAAAATTAATAGTGTACATTACATGTCCTTTGACCCAGAGATCCTGCATAGATAAATGCACCAGCGGAAATTTATATGTACAATGTTATCTGCTGCAGCATTGTTTGTAATGATTTTTATTATTTTTAAAGATTTATTTTATTTATTTATTTGACAGAGAGATCATGAGTAGGCAGAGAGGCAGGCAGAGAGAGAGGAGGAAGCAGGCTCCCCACTGAGCAGAGAGCCCGATGTGGGGCTCAATCCCAGGACCCCGAGATCATGACCCTAGCTAAAGGCAGAGGCTTAACCCACTGAGCCACCCAGGTGCCCCCCCCATGATGATTTTTAAAAGGAGAAAAAGGGGACAGTCTGAATGTCCATCAATAGAGGGAGGGCTAATACTTTGAGAATATTATATTATTACTAAAAATAATGAGTTAGAGCTATATGTAAGAACTTGCAGAACTGTACATAATGTGGTGAGCGAGAAAAAGTAAACTAACGAGGAATATATGCAGTGTGAATTTATTTATTTTTAAAGATTTTATTTATTTATTTGACAGAGAGAGAGATCACAAATAGGCAGAGAGGCAGGCAGAGAGAGAGGGAGAAGCAGGCTTCCCGCTGAGCAGAGAGCCCGATGCGGGGCTTGATCCTAGGACCCTGAGACCATGACCTGAGCCAAAGGCAGAGGCTTTAACCCACTGAGCCACCCAGGTGCCCCTGCAGTGTGAATTTAAAACAAACTCTTCTACATGATACATAAGTCTTTATATGTGTTAATGTGAGCACAGGGAAGGAAGGAGAAAGACACACAGTAAATTTCTGTCATTGGTTGCCTTAAAAAGGTGGCTCTGGGGAGAAGAGGTGTTGTTCCTTTTCTTTATAGATCTCTCTACTGCTTAATTTGTTACAAAAGGCATGTATTACTTTTGTATTTTTTTAATCTAGTTTAAATACTTTTTAAAATAATAAGACAGGGGCACCTGGGTGGCTCAGCAGGTTAAAGCCTCTGCCTTCTGCTCAGGTCATGATCCCGGGATTCTGGGATCGAGCCCCGCATCAGGTTCTCTGCTCAGCGGGGAGCCTGCTTCCTCCTCTCTCTCTCTGCCTGCCTCTCTGCCTACTTGTGATCTCTGTTTGTCAAATAAATGAATAAAATCTTTAAAAAAATCTTTTTAAAGTAATAAGATAAATAATGTTTAAGACATTATTTATAATAATGCATTATTATAATTATTATAATAAATAAAAGTAAAAATAGATAAGTGTCTTATAATAAATAAGACAAAATATACAGAAAACTCAAATGATAACCTGATCGGACCCAAACCAACAGATTTATCATTATAATGTAAACATCTTGGGCCAAGTTTTCTGGCTCCTTATAAATTCTGTCTCTGAGGAGTAATTATCTATAAGACTTTTGTTTCTACTAAAACCACATCAGAAATGGTTGGATCCTGATTCTCTAGTTATCTTTTTATTGGGTCCAAGTAATGTTGTGAGATATCTACATGGTCACAGAGGGTGTTGTTAGTCTTATGCTTTCTGAAGGTGCAAGGGCATTAGAAATAAGTAGCCTCTTGAGTAGGAGAAGCAATGTTTTGTTACATAATGTGAAGTGGGGAGGGGCTGTGTTATTGTCACATAAAAAATCAAAAGAGGAGGTTCTGACTCCTGATCTCTCCAGTCAGTTTTGATCCAAACAGATGTTCTCACCAACTTTAAAGGTGTCTCCCATCTGGATCAGGTCTGCATATGTTGCAGATACATCTAGAATATGTGACAAATAGGCTAAACCTCCAAGAACGCTTCGGACTAGGTTTAGTTGTCCTTTTCGGGATCTGCTTGTAAAAAGGGGTCATGGGGATTCACTAAAGACTGGGCACAGTAGATTCAAAGATCTCTTTAAGGCTACGGTGGACTTCCATCTCTAAAACTCAGACAGGTCCCTTGTCAGCTGCTTTAAATATCTGAACTGAAGACTTTAGATTGGCTCTTCTTCCAGAATGTTTGATGTCACGTAGATTTTGGTTTCCTAGGCTGGTGGCACAGAGGGGTACATACATGGCTGTCCCCACACTTGCTGTTTGCATCAGCTGCCACAAGGGGAAACAGGAAGACCCATGTTACGACCTCATGGTAGAAAGAAGATTTCTCACAGGTGTAGCTAACTAAATCTCAAGCTGAATAGATCATACGATTCTGTTTTTTTTTTTTTAAGATTTTATTTATTTATTTGACAGACAGGGATCACAAGTAGGCAGAGAGGCAGGCAGAGAGAGGAGGAAGCAGGCTCCCCGCGGAGCAGAGAGCCCGATGCGGGGTTTGATCCCAGAACCCCGGGATCATGACCTGAGCCGAAGGCAGGGGCTTTAAACCACTGAGCCACCCAGGCACCCCTACGATTCTGTTCTATTCAGTTATTCCTTTTCTACCTAGCTCGGGAGTAAACTCTATATTTTCATGTGCAACATCTCCTGGGGGTCCTTGGGGTACAACTAAATACTGAGGCTCATTAAGACTCTCCAGGGCCACATTTGGTGTCAGATTCAGTGGCAAGGATATAGATCAAGAACAGTGTGTTTGGTGGGGCACTTAGGTTTAAAGACCTGCAAATATTTAGGTACAATTTATTACTAACTTTTCTGTCTTTCTCCAACAGTATTTGCATGCTAGGCTTTTCTCTGCAGTCTTTTATCATACAACAATGTAAAATTTTGCTGTAGTCAAATATATTCATCCTTTCCTTATGGCTTTTTGTCTTTTCTCTCTTCTTTAAGGCTGTCTTTTCCTGCCACAAATTTTGCATGGCCGTTTCCTAGCCTGTGTCTGGCACCTCGGTGTGAGTTAGAGAAAGAAACCAAACCCAAGTCTTGGAGAATGGATGGCTGACTGCACAAGTCATTTGGAGGTACAGTTCTTGAACAAGGACGTCTATATTTGGAGAACTGCTGAGAAGGTAATATGCACTTTTAATTTCTGTAAAGATACAAACAAAATTTGGTATTCTGATTGGGATTGTGTTAAATATATGGATGG